GTTGGTGAACATGTAAATTAGTACAGTCACTATGGAGAATATTACTGATGTTTTTCAGGAAACTAAAAGTAGAACTGCCATATGATTCGACAGCATCACTGTTAGGTATATACTCAAAAGAAAGGAAGTAAGTATACTGAAGAGATATCTGCATTATCATATTTATTGCAGCACTATTTACAATAACCAAGAGTTGAAAGCAACCTAAAGTGTTCATCAGTAGATGAATGAAGAAACACAACGTGGCACATATGCACAGTGAACTACTATCAGCCATTAAAAAGAATGAGATCCTCCCGTTATCAACAACATAGATGAAACTGTAGGTCATGCTCTTAACTAAAAGAAGTCAGGAACGTAAGGATGAAATTTACATTGTCTCACTTATTGTGGGAGCTAAAAATTAAAACAATTGAACTCATGAAGATAGAAAGTAGAATGATGTTTACCTGAGTCTAGGAAGGGTAGTGAGGGTGAGAGGAGAGTGGGGATGGTTAATGGCTATAAAACATAGAGTTAGATAGAATGAATAAGATCTAGTATTTAATAGCACAACAAAGGGACTATAGTCAACAATAATGTATTGTTCATTTAAAATAACTAAAAGAGTTATTCGATTTCCTGTAACACAAAGGATAAATGCTTGAGATGGATGCTCCATTTATTCTGATGTGAAAATTACACCACTGCATGCCACATCAAAATATTTCATGTAGCTTATATGCATATACACCTACTATGTACCTACACAATTTTTTTAAAATTAAAAACAAAACCACTGACAGCAGAAATTTAAATGATATGTTAAAAAATGTATTGAACTTCCACATAGCCCAAAGGTAATGGGACCACCTAAATCTCTAGTGGAATTATCCAAAAACTATCTTAGTTAATAAGAAGAACTAATAAAACCACATAAATTACTTGTATTCAGCATACTAGAAGACATAATAAAACTCCATTTATTACTTAGGTGTATAAAACAATCACCAAATTTTGAAATAATTATTACTTGAACTCCCAGTGCAAGCAAGCTTCTTGCAAGGTACGGTGGATGGTGAAAGAGGGCTGAAGGGAGGCCACCGAGGAAAAAAAATATATCCTGTAATAAATTACAAAGAGAAGAGGGGAGCTGAAGACCTAAGATGCAGTTAAAATCGATTAGTGAAAGCCCATCATTCACTAAACTTTGTAATGAAGACCTGTAGTCAAGGACATGTTTAGAGGGAGGGATATACAAAGTAAGAGAGATTAAATGTGGAACTCTGAGAAAGCCATTATCTCTCCATGAGAAGAAAGAAAAAAAGTTGGGAAGTGGTGGTGAGGGGAGAAAGATATCCTTAAGAGAAAGTTTGGTAAAAGTAAAAGGAACATGTGGAGGACTTTTAGAATAATGCAATATAAAAGAGAAGTAAATAATGCAAAATGATAACAATACACACACACACACAGTCACTTACCTGTCATTACCTTACTGAAGTAACTACATTTGGCCATATTGACTGAAAAAGGCTCTTTTTCACTAGGAACTATGTAAACCAACTCACATTGACAAGCACTGTGTAAACAATATAGGAAACGAATATATTCTTAATCTACATCAAACATTTATAAGAAAATAAACAAGAAAAAAAATTGAGAGTCACATAGCTGCAGCCAAAATTCCTAGCCTCAAAACTAGAAATCCATGAAGCAGAAGAAAACTTTAATGAAACAATCAAAAATCAATTAAATGATCTCCAGTAAATAATTCAGTATGTTAAAACAAACTCCTTGAATTTAAAGTTGAGGTTCAGAATAGAAATTGACTTGATGAAAAATATGTGAAATAATACTTGATTGAAATCAAGAAAGAATTACAAGTTAAAGTGAACATATGTCAGAAATAAATATTGTGAAAAGTACTGCAGTGAACCTACATGTGCACATATATTTATGATAGCTGTGCATGTACCTCTGAACTTAAAAGTTGAAAAAAAGAAATAAATATTAAAGTAAAACGTGCCCAGTAAAAAAAAAGATCTCAATGAATATTGAGGAAAAAAGAAAACTACACTTACTTAAATAATACTGAACTTTGCATCCTACTAATGGGAAAGCTTTATCTAAAAAGAGATAATTGGCTGCCATTTTTCAAATGAATGATCATGGGCATTTAATATATTTAATTTTTATTTAATACTAAAACACAAGTGATAAAATGTGAAATATAAAGTTTATGCATTCTGAAAAAGTTACATCTTACAATTTTTAAGAAGAGAAAGAATGGAAGGATAAAGAGAGTCTAATGAAATTATTGCTTGTGTATAGGAAATGGGCAAGAGGGAAGAAATACTATAAAACCTAGGCAAACAAACAAGACACACTCAATAAATAAATAAATATTTCAAAAAGCAGAGAACTATATGCATTTGGTGTAAATACAAGACTAATTGCTAGAAAAATAATGAAAGCTTTCTTAATGTGAAATGCATTATTGAACACACAAAAAAGAATCACACAGGAGATAAGTAACAATAATATAGCATAAAAACATAGCAATTTTAACAAAACATTATGTACAATTATTGAGGCCAAATTCATGTCATATCAATATGTGAGAATGAACATGTCAATAAGTGAGAGTCACTAATTAAAATAAACACATTTTTGATTTGGCAGACATACAAACATCCAATGTATGGAATATATATAATATACACCCAAGATTAAGGGAACTTAAAAATTAAAAATAAAAAGATATGCAAATATATGCCAAGTGTAAAGATAGAATCTGAAAGCATGTATTCAATTTCCACTGTAAAACAGAGTAGAATTCAAGTTAAAAGTTATTAAATATTACTTTATAATACTAGAAGCTACAATTCATAAGAAACATATAACAGTTGAGAATATATATTACATAACTGAGAAGGCACAAATATGTAACAAAAACTCATAGAGGTAACATAAGTAGATATACACACAATAATAGAAGGAGATTGCAACACACCATCTACAGTGTAAGACAGATCAGTGCATAATAAACAGATTAGAATAGTGAGATTAAACAAGAAACATAATAAAGATTTATGGATATATATCATATGATATACTCTGATAATAGTCATATACCTTCCTCTCAAGTACACAGCTGACATTCGTAAAAATTGTTCTATATTAGATTATAATGAATAATCAATAAGCCCTGTTCAGTAAAAGTAATATAAGTAGCATTCTAATCACAATTGAATACAATAAAAAAATTGATAACAATATCAGAAAACAAAACTCCCATCACGCTGGGAAAAAATAAGAATATTTTCAACAACATTTGAGAGAAAGGGAAAATAAATGATGAAATTAGAGTCTTATCAAAATAAAATTAATTTGATGCATTTGGATCAATTTGATGCATTTCAAAGCAGTGATCAAAGGAAAACTCACAGCTTTAAATATGTTTATCAACAAAAAATGAAATGATAAAAATGTTTTACAATTAAAAGCTCTAAATAACCAAATTAAACAAAAAGTTTAAAAAATTGTTTAATTTTTGCTATTAACAAGCACAAAGAAGATACTTAACAAACATAAAGCCATGTGTGAATACAGCAAATTTAATAAGTAGTATGTCAAAATTTAGGTTTCCTGAGAAAATAATAAACAAGAAGCTAAAATAATTAAGAAAAATGTGACAGGCACACTGATGCAAGGCAAAATAGGAAGAGTTACAGAAGACTAATATTGAGAATTTAAAAAGAACTCAAAAAAACTGAAGAAAATTACTGTTGATCTTACTAAAAATTGGGTAAAGGACAAAAATAGACACTTCTCAAAGGAAAGCATACAAATGCTCCAGCACACTTATGCCAAAATGACAGATGTTGGTGAGGATGTGGCAAAAGGGGAACTCTTAAACACTGAGGATCGTAAAGTGAATTAACAAAACCTCTATGAAAAACAGAATGGAGATTTCTCATAGAACTGAAAGGGGAACTATCATTCACTGCAGCTGTCCTACCACTGGGTATCTATGCAATGAAAAGAAATTATTATATCAAAAACATACCTGTATTCACGTTTATTAGAGCACTATTTAAAATAACAAAGGAATCATATCAACCCATGTGTTCATCAGCATGCTTGGTCAAAGAAAATGCATATATACACAACGGGATACTAATTGTCATTCAAAAAAGAATGAAATCAGATGTTTTGCAGGAACATAGATAAAGCTGGAGGCTATTATCAAGTGAAACAAATCAGGCAAAAAAAAAAGGCAAATACTACATGTTCACACTTGTAAGTGGGAGCAAAACAGTGTGGACACGTGGACAGAGATAGACAATGGAGACTCAGCAGAGTGGGGGAGTGGAAAGGATGATGCAAATCATTTAATGGATCCAATATACTGTATTTGGATGATGGATTCCCTAAAAGTTCTGACTTCACCACTACACAATGTATGAATGTAACAAAATTATACATATAACCCACAAATTTAAGCAAATAAAAAATCCTTGACAGGACACTCTGGTCACAAATCTGTGAAGGCCAAGGCACTCTCACTTTTAATAATAATGAAAACTAGAGAATTTTTTCCCAATATGGTTAAATTTATGGCAATATCTAGGAAAATTACCTATATTTTTACCTTTTGTCCTAGGATTCCCACATCTAGAAATTTCTTTTGGAAATACGTATGTACAAAGTTATTTACTAAAGCATTATATGTAATAGCAAAATCCTGGGAAAAATTTAATGCTAAAATATAAACAATTAGATTATCTCTTGTGGTTCCATGACATATAGTACCATAAAGCTAATGAAGAGGAATGTCTGCATCAATAAGAACACTTCTGGAGTGCTGGAATTTCTATAGCACCTCCAAAAGAGAGGCAATAACTGACACTTCTGCTTTTTAATACATAGTAAAAGTTTTCCATATAACAATTACACAATAACAATATTTTATAAATATTAAATGTTTCTGACTTCCTAAAAAAGTTGAGATAACTTACTGGCTTCCTGTTGTCAGGCAACCGAGATGTTACAGTATCTGCACAAATAGGAAAGATTAAATAACTTAGTATCACCTATGATATATCCACATGTCTTGCAAGATAATATGGATGCAGGTCTTTCAATGAGCAAAGTATACCAGGAAGTGAGCCTCCTCTGGCACTGACTGTGTACAGGAAAGTCAGATGGAAATACTGGAGTAGCCCTGATTCCTACAGTTGATATCACTCAGTCTCAAATGCATTACATCTTTTAACTCCATAAAACCTTCCCTTGAAGATACCATTTTCATTGTTATCTGCATGTTATAGATGAGGAAACTGAAGACAAAGGAAGACAATAACTTGCAAATATAGAGAGAATTCAATCAGAATTGAGCATCAGCTTTCTGCTCTATTTTCAATGTTTTTCCAGTTCTTATGTATTTCATTTGCAGTTAACAGTAATAGATAATTTTTGAATTTAAGGCATATTGACTATCCCAGAAGTTATCAATGAGACTTACTTGATACTGTATTTTGATACTAGAATTGATAACTGAAAGTATCAAACCTGAAACTTTATTCTAACAAATTACACTGAAGAATATGACCTGCACAGCAGATAAATAATTTAATTGAGGTACTTAAACTCAATTCAGTGGCCATTCATATTAACTATAGAGTTTTACTCCTTATGTAATATGGGGAGGTGGATTCACCAATGTCACTTTAAAGGGCATTTGTCCTGTGTTTATTTGATTTGCCAATTCAAGTATACTAAAACAAATGCAACAACCAATTCTATTCCTATGTAATATCATATCTTGCCTGCAGTCCTAGAACGTGAGAAGTGAACCTAGGATTACAAAATGTACTCACCAGAGGAAAAATAAAGTGCCAACATGATGATAAGACTGGCTTGGATCCACAATGAGAAGTGAGCCATTTTGCTCCCTCACTCTCCCTTAAAGAAATTTGCAGAGAAACATTCAGAATATTTATGACACAGGTCCTATAAAACTTCAATGAACACAATAAGATAGAGGGACCATTTCCTGTACCCTCTCACTTGGGAGAATAGTCACAGCTCCTGAGATTCTATAGCCCTTTACTCTTCATTAGATGTGAGAACAGTCACAGCTCCTGAGATTCTGCATTTCTTTTCTATTCATTAGAGACTATTTCCTTTGCTCCTGTACCCCTAAAATCAACAACAAAAAATGCACGATAACAAATATGTGTGGGAAAATGTTTAGGATAACTTTCTGTGTGGCATTTAGTACCCAAATGCAATTTTGAGAGTTCAGTTTATCTTTTATAGAAGCTGGAACAGTTATTACTAGAAAGACAGTATCTGGAAAAATCCTGACAGCAATTCTACACATAAAAGGCACCATATCATATGCCCCAAATTACTCACCGCAAGAAGGACTGGTGCAAAAGAAAACTGACTGTCTTGTTCACTCTTGCCTCCTTAGCTACTTCACTATCGGGAGGAGTCTCTTTTATAGATCTCTGAATAAGGAAGACAAATGAGCCAGGAGAGATATGGCACAGAGGAATCAAGTGTCCTGGAAGTTTTCAGAGAACTTACTTCATACAGAGGTTATCTCAGCAATATCTAAAGCAGGAAGTCATGGCATGGACAATTTCATCTGATGGACACAAATGAGAAGGAAAGAAAATGATAAGCCTATTTATTGATCCTAAAACAGATAAAACCTGCAAAAGCCTTCTAAGCATGAGAGCTGTGTAGTCAAGAAAACTAAGGTAAGAAAAGTAGAATTTCAAAAATTACCATTTACAAATATGACTAGAACCGCAAGTTTTAAAATCTACATAGATTTATAAAAACCACCTGGATGCTATTTGATTATATCAGTGCTGAATTTCATTGCCCAAGACTGTGACTCAATTTTCTACATTAGATTCCAGTCATTGATACTTATTATAAGTTTCTAACACGATAACAGTATGCAGATTCAGTTTGAGGTTACTGAGCTGAGGCTATAGAAAAATCACTGGAGCTCAATTACATCAGTCTCTATATTTCTCCATAGTAGAGTTTTTCAATTTCACAAAAATGTCTAATTCAAACTTATCTTTGGCTAGTTTATTCACATAACATTTATTTATTTAACTTGTAATTAAAAAAATAATTTTATTATATTTTTGAGTCAGAGAGTACTTGTTTATTCCAGGAGTATATTGCATGATACTGATTTTTGAGGTATTGATGATCGTGTTGCACACTTAGTGAACTTAGTACACGATAGGTAGGGTTTCAGCCCACCTCCCCCTTCCTCCCTCTCCCTGTAGTAGCCACAGTGTCTACTGTTCCCACTTTTGTGTCCATGTGTACTCAGTGTTTACCTCCCACTTACTGATGTCATGTGGTATTTTGCTTTCTATTCCTGTGTTAATTCACTTAGAGTAACGGCTGCAAAAAACAAAACAAAAAACAAGATTTTGCTCTTTTTACGGCTTCACACTATTTCATGATGTGTATCTACCATAGTTCCTTTGTCCAATCCACTATGAATGGCGCCTAGGTTAATTCCATGTCTTTGCTATTGTGAATAGTGCTACTATGAACATACTAGTGCATACTGGTAAAAGGACATGATTTCATTCATTTGTATAGCTCTGAAGTATTCCACGGTGTAAAACTACCAGATTTTCTTTATCCACTCCACTGTTGATGCAATCAACATATAAGTTGATTCTATGCCTTTGCTACTGTGAATAGTGTGACAATAAATGTACGAGTGCATATGTCCTTTTGGTAGAACAATGTATTTTCCTTTGGGTATATACTCAGTAATGAGATACCTGGGTCAGATGGTACCCTATTTTGCATTATTTAGAAATTTCCAAACTGCTTTCCACAGTGGCTGAACTAATTTACATTCCTAACAACAGTGTGAAGGTATACCCTTTTCTCAATAGTCTCACCCACATGTGTTATTTTTTGATTTTGTCATAGTAGCTATTCTAACTGGTATAAGATGGTATCTTACTATGTTTTAGATTTACATTTCTATGATGATTAATCCAGCCCTGAAAACTCTGCTCTATAACTCAGCTGAAAGAGTTTCCAAATCAGATTTACTGCTCATCAGAACCATGTTATAGGAAATATGTTCTATGGTTCTCTAGGGTATAGACCCCTTGCAAGTCTACACACACTGCTGGGGTATCCTCTTTGGGCCCTCCTTCATATAGACATACTGTGTTCTGAACATTTGCTTGTGTTGAGGGAACTCTAGGTTTAAGGCACTAATGTATGCTGTAAAGAGGCAGTGACATAGCAAAAAAAAATTTAATAGGTATACTGCAAAAGTATCTTGAAGCAAACATATCCAACAAGAAACAAAAGAAGCCAGACAGAGAAGACAGGAATAAATAACTAATGCTTCAAGACAAAAACATGGTTGTACATCCACAAGTAAGACTAGCAAACAGAGAACAATAGTCTCCCATATGAACAACAGAAGGAGATAGGGATTAACCCAAATGAAACAATGATAGGCAACCTCTCTGATCAATGATTCAAAAGATAAGTTTCAAGAAAACTAAGTGATCTCCTAAATAACACAGAAAAACTATTCAAAAATGTATAAGGGTAATTTTACAGATTGAAATGATTTTAAAAATCCAACAAAAATCATGGAACTGAGATATGTTTTCTGGACTAAAAAGTTAATAGAGTCTCTCAATATCAGAATGTACCAAGCAGAGGAAAGAATCAGTGAGCTCAAAGACAAGATACTTAAAAAACACACACTCCTGAAAGAGGAGTGAGGGGAAGCAACATGGAAAATATGATTGAAGATATAGTTCATGAAGGTTTCCCAGTCTTACTAGAGAGATTGACATGAAAATGCAGGAAATTCAGAGAACTCCTACAAGATACTGAAGAACTTCTCTTCCCAGGTCCGTGAGCGGTGTGGTTTCAAATGCAGAGATTTCTTTTGAGCACCTCCTCCATGCCTCCATCCAGGGATCAGAGGGGTTTCCAATGTAAAGTTCTTTCTCTGGCTTTCCTGCACATGGGCCAGGTAGGGAAATCCAGGTGGGGTTTTTTGTGGGGCTCTTTATCCCAAAACTCCGCCGAAAGTTCTGGGAGGAGGGGGCTCTGTAACTCAGAGTTGTGGGCCAAGGAGCCAATCTGGTATCAGAGTCAAAGATCCATCACTCCAGAGGAAGTGTGAAATAACTCCTCTCTTTGTCTAATAAATCGTTCTTCCACAAAACTATTTGGGTCCACGATATTTATTCGAATGGAAGACTCACCACACCTCTGGGGCCCCTTTCCCTATTCTTTGGGGTTAGAAATGCCAAGAACCTCCAAGCTCTGGGAGCTGGGTATGCTTCCCCGGTTACATCTTTTGGTGAGCCAGCCAGGAGACACTGGCAGAAAATATTACTCACTTCAGAGCAGTGAGTAATATTGGACCCCTTTTGTTTGCTAATCTGTCCTTTCTCTTCTTTTAAATTTTTTAAGGAGGTAAAATCTGGGTGCCTGTTGGCCATCTAAGTGAGACTAGCATGGCTGCTGGACTAGACATGGATGTCAGGCTTTCTGGGAACTGACTCTCTAACAAACCCTGGCTCTTTGGAACTGGGAGCATTGGTCAGCCCCGAACCAGCTTCCCTTTGTTGTTGTTCTTTCTTCCTCTGGGCCAAGCTGAAGGTCAGTATGAGGAAAGAACAGCAGTCCCAAACTCCTGATTCAGTCAGGTTGAGGTTGTGGCACTGCTTAGACATCCTAAGAAAAAGCCACCTATGTGAGCCACGCCCAGCCTTTCAGACCCCAACCTCCTAAGTCCAGATATTCATGAGACAAACTTCTTCCTGGCTCTTTTCTCTAAGATATTTCCTACACACGAGGCTACTTCCCTTCTTGCTAGGACTTTGAGGCTCTTGGGGTGACAGTCTAGGTATCCTTGCCCATGGTGCCCTCAGGCTTATGCCTACGAGGGCCTCCTACAGTATAAATACAGAGGGCCAGTTCCCTTAGTCTTCTGTGCTAGGTTATGTCCTAACAGAGCCAGAGTCTATCAGAGGGTACTGGAAGCTATAGCTCATTTTGATTTTGGCACCCACAATTTCCCAATCTAAGTGAGTGTTGCCGGAATATAATAACGTACAATTTGTCTTGCCTAGGATTTGCTCTCTGTACAGCAGAACTTCTCCATCTAGAATACCATAGTCAGACCTGGTGTGAGGCTCAAATAGTTCATGACAGGCCCCACAATCTTAGGGCATATTCCTATGATGGAAAGTGGGGTAGGGTTGAAGGCTCAGGTCCCGAGGGCATTGTTCTGGCCTCGGCCATGTGGCCAACTATTATCTTCTTTAAGATTGTTGTGCTTAGAGGCCCCTCTCAAGGAGGTTATCCTTCTAGGGAAGTTTTATGTTCAGGCCCATGCTAACTGAACTCTTGCTAGGGAATACTGGCACCCATCACCCAAGCCCCACTGGCCTAGTTCTTCAAGGATGTGCTGGGGGTACAGGGACACTAAGCCCAGCAGTCCCCATGTCCTTATGGTGGCCAAAGAGGACATTAGACAGTGAGGGTGTGCCCATGATGCTGGTAGTGTGATTAAACCCAGCACATGAGGGGGCCCAGAAGATGACCACGCCTCTGGGGTGCAAGGAAACTTCAAGGTGCTGTAACTGGGGGATACCCCAGGGCTAGCAGTCGCAAGGAATACCCAGGGATGCGGGCATCCCTGTGTTCAATTTCAGATGGGTGTTACTCTTCCCAAGGCAAAATCACCCTTAAAGTGTATTCTCAATAACTGGGACCAATTTGATACACAATCTTTGAAGAAGAAACAGCTCACCTTTTCTGCCAAACCATGTGGCCGTGATACACTCTGCCGAGTGGAGAAACCTGGCCTAAGGGAAGTATAAATTATAACACCCTTCTACAATTAGACCTGTTCTGTAAGAGGAAAGGTAGATGGATTGAGGTCCCCTATATGCAAGTTTTCTTTCCTCTAAGGGATAATCCTCAGCTTTGTAAGGCTTGTAACCTCTGCCCTACTGGCCCCTCCTCGGAACTACCCCCATATTTAGAACTCCCTGTGGCTTCTCCCTACACCAATATGGACAAGGTCTCCTCAGCTCCTGTAACCCAAGAGGAGTCAGGGAAGGCTGAAATGGCCAAAGCATCTCAGGCTACTAGGATGCCCCAACGCTGCCCCCTACAGGCCGTAGGAGGAGAATTTGGCCCAACCAAAGTACATACTCCCTTTTCACTTTCTGACTTAAAGCAAATCAAGGTGGACTTAGGAAAATTTTCAGATGATCTGGACAAGTACATAGATGTTCTGCAGGGCCTAGGTCAGTCCTCTGAATTAGATAGAAAAGATGTCATGTTATTGCTTAGTCAGA